TGTCCTGGACTTGCTTTGTAGACCAGGCTGGCTTCGAACTCACATCTATCCACCTGCCTCTGCCTCCCGAGAGCCTCCCAAGATCTGGAAATAAAGGCGTGCACCACCAAGCCCACCCGAAAGTACAATTTTCAAAAAAGAAAATTCAGTCACCTGGGATATGGAATTGCCACATTTAACAAATGTTTTCTCTTACATATGTACGCACAATATTGGAGCTTCAATTTTTTTCTCAAAATCATTCATTTAGGCTTACTTTGTTTTTAGTTCTGTGAGCCCCCCATTCTGTCCACACATGGGTGGACAGGAGGCTACAATCATCCAGTAGGAACTACAATGGTGGCAAAGAGAAGCTTCTGGAAGAGTTATGGGAATTTACCTTGGATGACAAGGTTAGGCAGCCAGGAGGACAAGGTATCTCATGGTATCTAGCGGCCGCTGTTTATGAGACAGCGACTATGGGCCAGCCAAATCGAGTATAGTGTATTATCAAAAAAATCTTCACAAAGCCCTAGGAGGCCGTGTGCGACACCCGTCTTTACTGGTGACAGTGGAGATACTGTCACAGACAGAGCTGGGATTCAAGCTTGGCACTGCTGAACTCAACAACACTCTAAGTGCTGTTTCCCCTCATTTTCATCATCCAGACTTCTATCTCCCCATCTATCCACATTCATATTTTGGTGGTAGTTGTCTTCGTGAAAAAGAGAAGGAGACAGAAGGATGCTGGGGTGAGGTGCTGAGACTTCTTACAGTGACCTTTGAAGTAGACGCAATCATCACAGAGGAAGAAAACAACCTTAGAGAAACTGAGCAATCCGGCTAAGACAATGGGCGCTGGCACGCCGCCTATCTGGTTCCAGAAGGCAAATATTTCCTACTACAAAACACTGCCTCCCAAGGGAGGAGCGAAGCTGTTTCCAGGAAATAAACACTATAAAATCCACCTCTAAGCTAATTACCATGGGTCTGGAGGAGTCTGGTGAATCATGATAGAATGTGGAATTCTCTTTCTAGGCTGAGTGGTTACAAACACTGGTTGGACAATGAAGGTCAGTGGGAGGGCCATACTCCATGTTTATCCAATTCCTAGGGGGAGAGAGTCACAGAGACCTGCTTTCGACCTACCACTACACAACAGGCCTGCTGCAGAGCAGAGGGGGCTGGGAGCCAGACAGTATTGCCTTCTAAAACAGGTAGCACTGAAGGGCAGTGTCCTGAGAAGCCAGGACACCCATTTCTCACCTGTGAATCTGGGAGCCCCCAGAATATCTCTCCTGCCTTTTGCTTCTGATGAGGCGTGGACACATCATACGTAGGTGGTAATGAATTCCAACCTTTACAGTTGGGCTGATGGGAGGCCACGGCCTGCCCTTGGCTGGCAGGGTGTGTTCTCATTCATCATAACTGGTATCTGCAGCCCAGCAGTGTTCCGAAGTCAAATGGGACCCAGTTGGGTCAAGAGGGAACGATGTGACGTGAGGCCTGGCAATCCTGACAGGACTCCTGCTCCGCATCTGGAGGTTGGGGAAAGTCGGTGGTGTAGGCCAAGCCTCATTTGCCTGCAAATATAATATCTATTATTCTCACCAGGGCAGGGCTCATTAAACTTCAGCTGTGGTTTGAACACACACCTTTGAATCCTCACATCCTTATGAAGAACATCGGCTCTCATTTAAAAGACAGCCAGAAAGGGGATATAACGTAATGCCAGAATGTGTAGTTAACACGATCAAAGGTTAAGAGAGAGAGAAAAGCCAGGGATGTCCACATGACCTACGACCTCCTGAGCAATAGGCATGTAACAGACTGAGAGCCCTGAATGGGTGGGGCAAGGTCCCAGAATCTAGGACTCTCAGCTTAGGATATATATTTTTTTAATGTGCTGTCCTGTCTATGCTCCCAAAATATTGAAAAACAAACTCCCACCCTCCCCAAATTTTGAAAAGGAGACTCTAACGATTTAGCCCAGGCCGGCCTCAAATTCCTCCTGCTTCCACCAAAATTATTCCTAACCATAAAACAAGCATAAAGAATTCTTAACATTTTTTTTTTTTAATTCCCAAACTACGATCATGTTTCGATCGAGGAACCGATCAGGTGGCTTTTCTACTTTATTTGGTGGGAATCACCAGTTGTACAAATAGAATGTCCTCCAACACTCCTGGGACGATATGAGGGGTGAGGTTTTTATCATTTTATATACTATTGGATTAATTAATTAACTTGCTAATTTTTTTCTTTACATTTTTTAAAGTGTGTGTGTCCGTGTCCATGTTACGGCATGGACATGCGACAGCATAAATGTAAGGTCAGAGGACAACTTGAGGGGGATGGTTCTCGTCTTTTACCACATGGACTCCATGGCTAGATCCCTGTTGTCAGGCTTCATTGCGATCGCCTTACTGATCTCATCTTTCTTCTTTCTTTCTCTGCTCCTCCTCCTCCTCTCCCATCTTTTGAAACAGGGTCTCCCACAGCACCGGATGACCTCACTGTGTAACAGAGCATGACCTCGGACATCTGCTTCTCCTGCCTCCACCTCCCATTACAGACATGTAGACATGTGTGGCTGCACTGAGTGTATACAGGGTTGGGGATGGAACCCAGGGTTTTGTGTGTGTTTGGGCAAGGCCTAGACTGAGTTACAACCACAGTTAGGAGTTGCTGGTCTTTCCCCGACTTAGTCAGCATCTCATGAGATGATGAAATACCAGAAATGACAGAAAAGCAAGAAAGGAGGAAGTTTGACTCTGCTTTGAGGTTTCTACTGTATAATCGATCCCCTTGCTTTGAATATGTGGTGCAGAAGCACGTAGAGGCAGGAATGCCTGGCAGAGCAAAACCTCTGCACTCATCAATCAGGAAGCTGATCAGGATGGGACGCTCGGCCTCCAAAGTTTTCCATCTCTCAACAGCACCACCTTGTGGACACAAACCTTTAGCACACCGGTGCCGGATGCTGAGCGTCCAGACGACACAATGCTTTGATTCCCGAGGGCTGGTGGTCTATAAACTCATCAAATTATCTCTGTAGGCAGTGCTATCTGGGTCATGTCACTTTCATAAAAGGGAGCTGAGACTGTCCTTTATCCTGAAAGAGCTTCTGCTTTGTCAGTGCTCGATGAAGGCATCTTGGTCTGGAATTTTCTCCAAGATAAAGCATTGAACGGTCTATTCAGCTTCTTTTTAACATGTTTTTTGATTTATTTCATACATGTGATTGTTACGCCTGCACGTACGCATACCACGTGTATTCCTGGTGCCCATGGAGGTCAGAAGAGGGCACTGGATCCCCTGGGACTGGAGTCACAGATGCTCTTGACAGCTGAGCCATCTCATTGGCTCTGTGAGTGGATCCAGTCTCTTCAGCTGCTTTGACAATTTTCAGCATCTGGAGAGTTGGCTCAGTGGTTAAGAGCACTTGTTGCTCTTGCTCAACTCTCAGCACCCACATGGCAGCTCACAGTTGTCTGTTACTCCAGTTCCAAGAGATAGTGTCCTCTTCAGGCCTCTGTAGGCATCACGTACAGATATATAAGCAGACAAAACACCCATACACATTTTTTAAATCAGATTTTTAATTTGCTCCTGTGTTCCTTGTGCTGTTGTTTTTCAAGGAATTTGTCCATTTCTTTATAGTAATACAGGTTTTGCCATGCAGCTGCAATCCTGCCACACTGGTATTTTTCCTTTTTGTAACCGAGAAATAATTCATTTAGCATAAAAGTGTGTGTGTGTGTGTGTGTGTGTGTGTGTGTGTGTGTGTGTGTGCATAAAAAGCCCAGGTCTCTACTTTCCTATTCCTCTCCATCTTATTTTGACTTTTAAATATTTTACTTTCAGACTAGAGAAATGGCTCAGAGGTTGAGAACACTGGCTGTTCTTGCAAAGAACCTGAGTTCAAATCCCAGCAACCATATGGTGGCTCATAAACCATCTCTAATGAGACCTGCTGCCCCCTTCTGGCCTGCAGGCACATATGCAGGCAGCATACTGTATAAACAATAAATAAATCTAAATATATATATATATATATTTTATTTTTAGCCACGCATGATGGCTCATATTTTTAAACCCAACTCTTGGGAGGCGGGGGCAAGGATATCTCTCTGAGTTCCAGGCTAGCCAGGGCTACATAGTTAGATCCTGTGTCAAAAGTATTTATTTTTAAAAGATGTGTTATTTTAAATGATGTGTAGGCCTGTGTGTGGGGATGTGCTCATGAGTGAAAGTACTCAAGGCAATCAGACAGAGATGTTGAGACTTGAACTCAGGACCAGTATGTTTCTAAACATTAAGCCATCATCCCAGCCCTTTATAAAGAAACACAGAAATACTTCATAGGGGAATCCACTCCATACATGGCCGTGTATATACAAATAAAGCAAAAGTTTCATAAGACAAATTGTAACCCATTGGACATATTTTCCTAAATTTCAGGGGGCTGTTTATGAACCCTAAGTAAGTTTTTATCATCTTTCTGTATACTCTATCAGTATACAGAGAAGGGCAATTCATAAGCTGATTACATCTGAATACACCCTGAGTTCAACATTTCTGGGCTGTGTCAATATTGACTACTTAGCTCCATCTGTTTTCCAAGCCCTGGAAAGACAGCACGTTCCATGAACCCCACTGCTAAACCCCCCACTGCTAAACCCCCCACTGAGGGCTGAGCTGCTCTCGACTAACACTGATCACAAGTCAGCAAATCTACACTTTGACACACTTTCCTGTTACACTGAGTAAGACTAGACAGCATCTGCACTTTGTCCATGGAACTCAGCTGAACCACACTTTGTGACAAGAAACTCGGGTCAAAGCATAAAAAATTAACTCTTGTTAAGACACAGTTGCACTACGTGGCCCAGGCTGTCCCTGAACTTACAAACCTCCTGTTGTGGCCTCCCAGCTGCAAAGCAAGCCTCCTTACAGTGAAAATTATTATAAACCACGGTAACTGTTTGCAGTACTCAAACATGACAACACAGAATGGATACTGGGTTCCGTATGATTTTATTTAAAAACTTGCAAAGCTGAAGGAGGGATCTGAGATTTTGTTAAAAGAAAGCGATTTTCACAGTTTATATTCAGCCGTTAGCTTTATGGTGAATAATAACAGAAAAGGAAGGCTCTGTTCAGGATCCTCATTTTAGCACACCGAGCCAAGCTGCAGGCATCCTGCGGCAAGATCACTTGCTCCAGCCTGCTCTGGGGTTCGTGGCCAGCCCTCTGGCAGTGCGAGGTCGGCGCTCCTCCAGACAATACAACCAGGATGTCTCCCCACTACCCAGTGCACCGGGCCCTGAAAGTCCCAGTTTACAGCTGGAAAAACAGGAAAGGGTTCTTTAACTTAGCCAACTCCGCTAACTCTGGAGGATGACAAGTATACAATGCTTAGGATGCGTGAGCTCCTCCACGCTTAACAGAACAGCTCACATGTTAAAAAATTAAGTCAAGAAACATGCCTTAATACTTTAAGATGTGACTTAACAGACAAAAACAGACAGACAGACAGACAAAACAAGATGCACAGCACACTCCTATGTATGGCCTTGCGTGACGACCGCTACTGGTGGCCAAGCGGTCGCAGAGAGCCAGGCACACTGCCACACTGGTCTGCTCACGGGGAACGTCACGTTTTCACTTGGGTTACTGGCTTTAGCCTGAAGGAAATAAGGGTCCACAAACAACACCCTTGTTACTCTAAATGATGAGGTAGATTTTTTTTTTTTTCCTACTAGGGTAAAGTGAAGATATCAAAAAGTCCAAACAACGTTTAATCTTGCTTTTTCAAACTTCGGGCTATGGTCACATTCACAAAACAATACAACTGTAGGCGGCGAGGTGGCGAGGTCAGAGGTTATTTACTGGAGATGCTACTGGAAGGGTCAATAATCAGCCTGGGATCGATCAGCTCTTTCCAGCGCACAGTGATCTGAGGAAAAACGCAGAACACCAAATTTAGTCAACTCATTTTTAAGGTCACATAAGCTAAAAATCGTAGGTTGGTTGAGTAGATTTCTGTGAGGAATGGTCAGATAATGAGAATAATTTCAATGCGAGTAGACTGAGTTTAACCACTTGGAATGCAGCTAAATTTTACCCTAAACGTATTTCCCCCTCTGACTTAGAGTGGGGGCTGGGGTGGTGGGGAGTGGGTTACACGGTGTAGGAAGGGTCTGCCTGGTAGACAGGTGGCTCTGGAAGCTAGAAGAGGCCTAGTCTGTGGTCCCTCCTGTGCCACTCAGCAGTTCTTACCCTCACCTGCCTAAAACACGAACTACTATACAATTTACCAGAGATGCCCCAAGCACTAAGCAAGGGTGAGTGAATGATGACAGCCATGTCAAAAGAGGAAAACTACAGGTTTTCTGCTTGCAGTTTTCCAGGAACATATTAAAAATAAAGTTTGGTTTAAACATTGCAAACAAGCCAGGCATGGTGGCACACGCCTTTAATCTCAGCACTCGGGAAGCAGAGACAGGCAGATCTCTGTTGAGTTTGAGGCCAGTATGGTCTACAAAGTCAGTCCAGGACAGCTAGGGCTGGCACACAGAAAGACCCTGTCTCGAAAAACCAAAAATAAATAGACAGATAGACAGATGGATGGATAGATAGACAGATATAGGTAGCTAAGCACAAGAAATGAGGTCAAACCTTCTGATGCTGCCACAAACCCTAAGAATGTGTTTCTGGGAAAAAAATCCTAGGCGGGTCTTCTGCCTTAAAACACACAGGCAAAGTGGGTGGTGGTGGTGCACTTTTAATCCCAAAGTGGGAGGCAGAGACAGGCAGATCTCTGTGAGTTCAGGCCAGCCTGGTCTACAGAGCAGGTTCTAGGACAGCCAGGCCACACAGACAAACCCTGTCTTGACAAACCAACCAACCAGCCAACCAACCACCACAACAACAAACCCATGTAGTGGTGTGTAAAGTGAAGCCTTTGTGTCTGGCGCTGAGTGCAGCGTCTCAGCAAAGCCTCTGCTATGTTTGGGTTCATCAGCAGAGGCTGAGAACTTGTCTTGAGACTATTTGAGCCTTGAAGAAATGTCTCTCTGGAGAGTCTGCACTTGGTGCTATGTGAGAGCTTGCAGGCGTACTGACCTTGGTCCTAAGACACTCCTGGCAGACCTGGAATTCTCACTTTTGATTATGGCTAGCCATCGTCGAAGGGACTGAGATTTGCGTGGGATGTCTGCTCTAACGGGCAGCAAGAGCAAGATAACCTTCGTACTTGGAACTTTTCCTAGTCCCAATTAATTCTGTGTAATGATTGAATAAAAGTAACTGGAGTGAGCTAGCTGGGCACCAGTCTTTCCCAAGGCTGAACCCCTCTGCTCCTTCAGAAAATGAAGGCTTAGCATCTTGGTGAACTTCTCTCTCCACTGAGGCACCTACAGCCAACATCAACCAATAAACACAGATGAGCACACTGGCTGGGTCTTTACAAGTTGAGAGTTCAGACAAAACATGAATTTTCAGCACTGAAATATAATAGCAAATAAACACAGTGTTTCAAACAGAAGCACAGAGAGGGAGCGCTGTCTTAACCATAATCAAGCTGTTAAGGAACTACCATTAGCAACTGACTGCTGGCTCCACACACAGGGAAACCACAAGCTTTCCACTAGGTTAGGGCTGGCAAGATGGCTCAGCAGGCAAAGGTGCCTGTGGCCAAGCCTGACACATAAGTTTAATGCCCAGGATCCACATGGTGAAAGAAGAGAATGACCTGCACATTCATGCAGTGGCATACACACCACATACACATACACATACACACACACACACACACACACACACACACACACACACACACACACA